CGCCCGGCCGCAAGCAAAATTTTTAAGTCAGAATAATGGGAATTCTGATAACTTGCTATGGGAGTGTACTGGATAATAGTTGGCACCATCTAATAATGCTTAAAACATACATAGTCTCAGACCCAGCAATTACAGTCCCTGGTTTTATCTAGATAAATCCATACTTATGTGCACCAGGATACTCGTACAGGAAAGTTCTAGTGGCATTGTCTAAAATATCTCCTGAGAAAACCCAAATGTCATCAGAACTACAATGGATAACTAAGTTGTAGTATATTTACAAAACGGAATACAATGATGAAAATGAAAAAAAACAGAGCAAGAACATGGATAAATTTCACATAAAAAGTAGGTAAAAGAGCTGGGCATGGTGGCTCATGCCTATAATCCCAGCACTTTGGAAGGCTGAGACAGGAGGATCGCTTGAGCCCTGGAGTTCAAGGTTACAGTGAGCTATGATTGTACCACTGAACTCCAGCCTGGGTGATAGAGCTAGATCCTGTCTCTAAAAAAACAAACAAAAAACATACACAAAAAAAACCCAAATTATGCTGTCTGGGAAGTATACATGGCATGGTATAGGTGGTAAAACTATAAAGAAGACCAAGGAAATGATTATCATACAAGTCAGGAGAGTGGCTAATGGGTATGAATAAGCACTTATTCATGATAAAAACTTTTCACAAACTTGGACCTTCTTTAACCTTCCTTAAGCCACTGAAAACCTACAGCAAACTTCACTCTTCATAGTGAAGAGAATCAACAATAAGACAAGAATGCTCCATTGCTGCTACCCAGGAGGCTCTTTCTTCCCTATAGACACAAGGGATCCAGACAAAAATCACCCAAGAATACTCATATGGCTTTTAAATGCCATAAAATTCACTAAATATACAATACAATGATTTTTAATAAATTTACGGAGTTGTGCAACCATCAGGACAATTCTATTTTAGAAATACTGCATCATCCCAAAAAGCTCCCTAAGGTCCATTTGCAGTTAATTCCCACTCCCTCCCACAGGCAACCACTGATCTGCTCTCTGTCTCTATGGATGTGGCTATTCTGGACATTTCATATGAATGGAGTCATACAATATGTAGTCTTTTATTACTGACTTCTTCTAATTAGCATGCTTTTGAGGTTTATTCATGTTGTAGCATCTATCAGTACTCCATTCCTTTTTATTGCTAGTTTTCCATTCCATGGATATACCATATTTTGTCCATCCATTCACTAGTGGACAGACATTTTGGTTATTTCAAGTTTTTGGCTATTATGAATAATGCTGCTATGAATAGTTGCATGTAAGTCTTTTTGTGCACACATGCTTTTATTTCTCTTGGGTAGGTACCTAGGAGAATTACTAGGTCCTGTGATAATATTTATGCTGAGCTTTTCAGGAAACTGCCAAAGTAGACGTACTATTTTACATTCCCATCAGCAATGTATAAGACTTCCAG